ATATTTTATTGAAAAATATAAATTTCATATTGGCTTTGCAGAACTGCAAAAACTTTATACATTGCCCTGTCCGGATAGCTCAGTTAGTTCAGTTGGTTAGATCATTGACCCTGATATGCCAAAGTTGTAGGTTTGATCCCCAGTCAGGACATATATAAGAAACAACCAATAAATGCATAAATAACTGGAACAATAAATCTCTCTCTCTCTCTTTCTCTCTCTCTCCCTCTCTCTCTCTCTCCCCCCAACCTTTCTCTCCCTCTAAAATCAAAATTTTTTTTAGAAAACCTTATGTATAATATAGACATGCATGTCATTTGCATGAGCCTTATAAATAAAAAATGGCAGCCAAGGACTCTGATCAAATTCAGCCATCCCAAGGATTGTTGTCTGCCCCAAAAATAAGCAATATTAAAAAAAAAAAAAAAAAAAAAAAAAAACAGAAGATGTCATAGAAAAAAAAAAAAAAAAACAGATGTCTATTGTATCAGAAAAATCTTAAAGTCTTCCAAACCAAAACCTTTATTTACTTATTTGTTTATTTTTACTGCAGTAATGGGATGGAGTGGAGTATTAGTTGTAGAGCAGCACCTTCTGCCTGGCCCTGCTACACATTTGAGTTTCGGGACCAGGATCTGATAAGAGGTACAGAACCGAAACCACTGCGAAGAAGGAAGCTGAGGGTGGTTGCTATGAGAAATATAATACTGACAAAACTGAAAAACTGGGAATCTTGCTCCTCTAGTTCTAATGAACTCAAGCTTTCCGAGGACCTCCATTTTTAGATCTAGAGTGTTGACTGGTTCTCTAATTTGCATAATAGAGTTAAACATTTGTACACTAGAGTTTTCTGTTTATATATGTGTCACATTTTTATGAGGCAGAAAAGTTTATTTCATCTGGCAAACCCATGATATAACTATGTTGCAGAATTAATTGGTAAGATATTTAGGATAATTATTCTTTTAAGGTTTAAATCCACTTTAAAGTTTTAATCCACTTCCTTCAGTCTCTTCCTACTCACCCAGGCATTTAAAATCTATATATATATATTTAAAAGAATATGGAATTTTCTATAACGTCCATGTGTAATCTATGCCAGCATTTACTATAAGGCCCACAGTCATGAGATTCTAAATGAAGGTTTGTGCTTAAATGTGCATGATTTGGCTTCCCTAGATCTCTTAATTTACTTGCTTTCAAACCACTATACATTTAAAGACAACTAGACAGTGACATCAGAAAAATGTCAGTGTGAGAGATCCCCTCTATCTCTCCCCTCAATGTTTCAACAATTTGAACAGCTATAATTCAACAAAGTCTTCCCTGCTCAATGCACAAACACACCTGCGAGAACTGAGCACTAAGAAATCTAAAGGTGGGCAAGTGGGAATGAGCCAGGGAGGTGAGGAGGGAAAAGTAGCCAGGAGCTCAGGGCAGGGCTCAGCAGGAGAGGGGAAGAACCAGGTTTTGGCACTCCTGTAAGGCAGGAGCAGCAGAGACTCAGGGGACATTCCTGCAGGAGTTGGCGTTAGGAGCTACAGCTGAACCAGTCGTCTGGTGGCTGGCATTCCAGAAGAGAAACCAAAGCGAGGAGCCTGGCTGCCCCTTCCCCTCCTAAAGCTTGCTTCCTTCACCCTTGGTTGCGGAGCACATTATCTGCAAATCTGAGAACTAGTACTACAGACTCACTTTTCCCCAGAGCGAAAGGCCCACTCTGTGAATGGTCTCAGGATCAGGGCATGAAGAGAATTCCACAGAGGTCCGAGGTCACAATTACCAGAGGGCAAAGCAACTTAGGTAGTGGACATAACGGTTAGCCCAGTCTACCCTTCCCTCACACATACTGACTGTAGTGTCTGGCTGTGGAGGACAGCACTGAGATTTCACAAATTTGAAGCCCCATAGCCCACCATGTTTGCTCAATGGGCAGGGGTGGTTTCCTAGGACTGGGATGACCAGATCACAGGGGAGGCACCCACCTCCCATTTTCCATCACCACAGGGATCCGAAAAGTCAAAGAACTAGCAAAAAAAAAAAAAAAAAAAAAAAAAAAAAAAATCTTGATTCAGCGCCACCTACTGGAAGACAATAAGACTTCTTTGTATCAATCTACTAGAGAAATGCCACTCATACTTAGATGCCTAGACAAAGGAAGGAATCCATCAAATACCAGGAATAACCAAGGTAGGAGGCAGCTAAGAAAGAAAATAAAAATCTCCAGAACATAAACTGAAAGACAAGGAAATATGTGATTTCAATGACAAAGAATTCGAGATTGAGAGATTACTATCTAGGCTTCAGTTATGTTGAGCTCCCGGCCCAGAAAAGCAGGCAAACCAGAAGTAGTGACATCATGGCTGACATCAGGGCCAAATGCACTGATCAACCACCTCAGACCCTAGCATCAACAAATCAACAGAGACCAGGACCTTGACATGACCCTAACTCTCTTGGCCATCATAACTAATTATTTTTTCCTCTCTACACTCCAACCACTAGAACTCTTTGGGAAGCCAGGTCTTTGAGCATTTGCTCACTTCTATCTCTGGGGCAGGGCCACTTCCTAAAAAAACCCTTAATTAACCTGCTGCAAACTATGGTTTGATTTTATGGGGCTTTGCTGCTCACAGGCAAATGGACCCCTTTGGTCTGGTAACAATGGTAAATGGAAATTCTTTGTAAGAAACCACAGGGTTTCATAGATTTCAAGGCAAAGTCCTGAAACAACCCAGAGGCTGCATCTTCAAATAGGTCTTGTTGGGAAACAAAATTCTGAGTAAATTTGAAGATCAAACTGGCTTCGTTGAATGACTCATGAATCAGGTAACACCCCACCAAGGTAACAGAAAGGAGCTCCAAAGACCTGAACAAAATGGAAGGCTTCTATAGGCAAAAGGCAGAAAATATAAGGAAAGAGTGGGATTGATTACCTCATCCTACTCTGGGGGACTGAAACAGCCTAAAAGGCAGATTACCTCTACAGTACGGTGCCAACCAGGTCATTCCAGATTGACTGAAGATCACATTTTTTAGAGAGGCTGAAACTGCAATTAAGTCTTGAATTGCAACTTCGAAGGTGGGCTTAGCTGAGGTGGGCTTAGCACAGGTGACTCCGCTCTGAGCCTTTTCTTTAACAGACCCAGCCTCCATGGGATAAGAACCATGGTTTAAACTTATTCTATTTATTTATGTATCAAATAAAACAAGAAAGCTGGCTATTGTTAATGACCCGGTTTTAAAGGAAAAGAAAAAGATTACTCTCCCTATTCTCCATAAAAAAATAATTAAAACTAATTTGAAATTAAGAGCTTGACTCTCAAACCAGATGTTGTTTGCTTTCCTTTTAAGGTTTTAGCATTTAATTGAAATCACAAAAGAACTTCATTAAGCCCTTGATACTTGAGTTCTAACTGAAAAGGTTAAGCTTCCCTGCAGAGAAGCATAGCAGTTAATTGCCTGCCTACTAAATAAAAAATAAAAAAGCCATTTTTTTAAAGTACAGTCAAACCTTGGTTTTCTGACATCTCCCATTTTGAACCATTCACTTCTCAACTAGACAACCCTTTCATACTGATGCCTGTATGTATGATCAGTCTCAAACCTTTAAGGTGACAAAAGAGTGAATGTGTGTGTATCAGTCCGTTTACCACTAAACATCATGTTGTTAGCACCTCAGGAAATAGTGCTGTGAATATTCTCGTGTTTTTTGCTTTTGTTGCTGCTTATCATTACTCAGTTTTCACTTTTACTGTACATTTCATAGCCTTTGGTCATTAAAGTGTTTATTTATAGATTTAAAAGTACATTAGACATGTACAGTACATAAGAAAGGTTAAAACAGGGAATCATTTGGGGGTCTGGAATGGATTGATTCAATTCACATAATTTCTAATGGGAAAAAAATGATTCGGTTTTCGAACAGCGTCTGGAACAAATTACATTTGAGAACCAAGGTTCCACTGTAAATGTTTCTGTTTCTATTTCCTTTCATTTTAAAATTTAATTTCTCCCCAATTCAATTTCAAGCAAAAGAGGGAATTGAGGAGGGAAAAGTTAGACAATACTAGGAAACTTGACAGCTTTCTCAGGGCAAATATCCAAATCTGTAATTCCTTGCTTAAGTGTCTAAGAAGCAGCAGGAGCTGGCCTACACCATGGCCGAGGTTTGCAAACCCTTCCCCTTGGAGTCCCTATACTTAAAGTCGAAGAAAGGGAGTTTATTGAGTGAGTGAAGATGGGGCAATAGGTAGAAGGCACTTTCTCAAGAAGTTCCAGTTCACCCAATGCCTACAACACTCTAGCAGAAGACTGTTCAGATCACTTTAAGAGTATGGGATCCCCAAGTGCTTCTTAGACCTTCCAACACTGCATTTGAAACAAATATTAAGCCCGGAAGTAAAGGCCTCCATTAGCCTCAGGGCAAATCTTATAATAACCATTTCGTGTTTTGACTCTTCTATTCTCCTACACTACAAAAAGGAAAAGGTGAATATGATTCATGGTTTAAGAATCTGAGTTCCTAGCACACTGCAGAGAAGAGTTCTTTTCCAGAGTCAACTCAGGAAACTAATATTAACAAGGTGAAGAATTTCTCCTGAATGGTCTAGTATCTAGCTCTATTGCCGGATGGGATATACTTACAAATACACATTATGTATAGGAGGCAATGCACAGGATTAGAGAGTTGGAGCAGAATTAAGGAACGAATGAAAATAAGTTAATTCTAAAGATGCATAATCTTTATAAGGCAAAACTGTCCGTCTACACCTTCTTTGAAGTCATGAAAAATACTAGTAAAGAAATCTGAGAAATCAGTGACTGAAACCCAGGTTAGTAGGGAAAGGTCAGAAAGGACACTTCCACTTACTGAAGATCAAACAGTTGCTTGTGGTAAATTCTCTTTGAAAAGGAACACATTTGCCTTTTAAATGGTAAAATAGGACCAAGCAAAAGAGATTACTCAGGAATCCAATGCTTGAGCACCAACAATCACTTACTTTGTAAATGGTAGGCAGGATCTGTTTCATTTTCAGCCTGTGAAAGACGAAGACATCGTAAACTGCTGAGACTGCGAGAACAGTCACTCCTTGTTCCTTCCACAGCATGCTGCATCCCGCACACAGTCCTGTCCCCACGAACCAGCCCCACGTCCTGGCTGAGTAGCCTCTGGTGGAGCAGTGTTTAATGTAGCAGAGCAAGGAGAGGAGAAAGAAGAGACTGGCCCCGACATCGGCCCGGCCCACGATTCCTGCCACGGCCTCCGTGTGGATGGGGTGAGAGGCGAACATCAAGCCCGCCATGAAGGTCCAGTATCCGTCCCCCAGGAGTATCTTGGAGAAGCTCGTGAAGAGACCAGTGACTGCCGCATGCAGTAGGATATTGACAAGATGGTAGCTCCAGGGATTCAGGCCTCCGATGGCATGGTTCAGGCGAAAAGAAAGCGTGCAGAGTGGCCGGTAGGACTTGTGGCTGCCACTGTGGGTTAGAAGAGTCCCCCAGAAATCATTGTAGAAAATGTGTGTCCATGGCGTTTCTGGGAGAAGGTCCTGGTTAGTCTTGATAGCACGGCTAAAAAACAAAATATTTTTTAAAAAATCAAATGAAAAATACAGTGAAAAAATATTAGGTGATACTAGTAATATATTACCTTCCTCCCTAGCCTTGGTGTCATGAGACTTTAGGCTGGGGTGCCAGGAATGCATAATTAATGCAAATGAGCTTTCCATATAGATTGAATTGAGATCCTCCCCTTATTTCTTGCTAGCACCACAATTAGGATTGTATTTCTTTGCCTCAAAAGCTTTCTTCCTTGTTTGAATGCAAGTGTGTTTGAAGGATAAACGTAGAGGTTCTATCATTGATTTAAGCCTTAATGCAGTGTCCTGAAACATCACTTGGCATGCTGACTAAAAATGCAGAGTCTAGGCCCCAGCTTGATATGAAGCTTGAGCATATTCATTATTTAAAAGCATAGCCCTAGCTGATCCTGGTGCAGGAAATACACTAAGAGCAAGAACTAGCCCCCAAGGAAGATAAATTTTAAATAGAATATCTGTGCCTGGAGCAATGCTTCTCAAACAGACACATCATGTGGAAATCTTGTTAACAGGCAGGTTCCACATTTCTAACAAATCCCCAAGTAAAACTGACTCCGCTGGTCTGTGGCCTCCACTTTGAGTAGCAAGGGCCTATACAGCTGGAGAGATGAGTAAGAAAATATTGCCTTTCTTTCTACACTCCAGTAAACTTCAGCCTTTCCCCCTTCTGAGCTGTCACAATTCTTAGTGTCATCTACACCAGATGCCACAATAATGCACTTCCTTGTATCTTGCTTTTTGAGGATTAGTAACGACAAGGAGGAATAACCTAGTATTATTCACTGAGCACTTCCTATGTGCCAAGCATTCTGCTAGTCTTGGCTGTATTTTCTTGGTTAATTCTTGGAATAACTGATGAGATAAATATTATTATGTGCATCTCTCAAATGAACAAATTGTGATTGAGAAAGTTAAATGAATAAATATCTAAATTCACACAAATCTAAACCTTGAAATAATAAGGTCAAGTTTCATGGCCCATGCTCTTTCCAGTATGATGGGCTTCTCAAAATATGATCCACAAACCACAAGGAATATGAGGGAAAATACACAAACCATGTGAAACTCTTAATGGCTGTATTGGTTTTAGCATATATTTGAAATAAATTTTAATTATCACATCAAAGCTGGATTTCATAGCTAACTAATCAAAATTAAGCTGTTAAATAAAGAGTCCATGTAAACACAGATATGAAGAAATCAACAGTTCTGGTGTACGTGGATAAGATACAACTGTGGAAGGCAGCACATAAATGACTCCATTTGAAAGATTCCTGCTCTATGGCATTACACCTGCCAGTGAATAGGGTGGCATCTGGAGTCTTCTGTACCTCCAGTGCAGCTATCCCAGTACATACAGAACACGAGAGGCACATGAGCCAGAAGGAAGCAGGAATGAGACACTCAAGTAAAAAACTCTTGCCTACTCTGATGTCAGGGCTTTTTAAGGGGATGTGAGCACATGCGTAGCTAAAGAATAGATGGTGGGCGGCCACTCTGAAGACCTTTACCTCTAGCCACTCCACCAGCTCTGCCTTTCATTGTGAGGCAGCCATGATTAAAGGAATTTCCGTATGTATTTTACCAAAAATCATGTTGCAAAAGCCTTGGATTAAGGAGAAATGCCCCAGAGTCCCAGCTCTATAATTTACTGAGAGACTTCGAAAACAAGAGTATGGAACAGATTAAAAACTCATCCTAGGCTTGTAATGGAAATAGTTGTTAGTATTCCATTTGAGCTCAATGGCTGGTCAATGCTGGTTTTCAAAAGCTTCTCCAAATGACCTCCCAATTAACCTCGCCAAGCTTCAATTTCTGTAATGATAATAGTTTTACCTTGAAATCATTTAACAAACACTTGTAATTGTTCATTTGCCTTCAGAGAACACTGCTTTGCAGATACACCAATGTTCTGGAGACTTAAAACAAATGACATTTCAGTCCTGCTAATGGCCTCAGTTACTCTACAAGGACTGGGGTAAAATTTATAAAAAGCCCCTTATTATAGTCTGCTTGACCCACAACCTCTGAACTTGGGGACATTTTGGGGGGTTAAAATTACAACAGACGGCCTTAGCTGGTTTGGTTCAGAGGATAGAGCATCAGCCTAGGGACTAAAAGGTCCCAGATTCGATTCCAGTCAAAGGCACATGCCCAGGTTGAAGGCTCAATCCCCAGCAGGGGTCATGCAGGAGGGAACTGATCAATGATTCTCTCTCATCATTTTTATTTCTATCTCTCTTTCTCCCTCTCCCATCCTCTGAAATCAATAAAATATATTTTTTTAAATTATTTTAAAAATTATAAAAAATAAATCAGACTGATAAGTAGATGATAACTTATCTACTCTCTGTGAAACACCATACTACTCTTTTTATATCTACTAGTTGACTTTTCTAGATGCTCAATAAAAAGTCAGAAGGTCTGTTAAAATCATATCTTAAGAAATACTCAATGTGGTAGGGATAGTTGTTTTTTAATGTCTATTTCCAGCCTTTTCCCATACCCTTAGACCTTCTGTTTTTAATGGTATATGGTCTTTAAAAAAAAGATTTCATTCCCTACTTTCCATTGCTGCTAAAGATGGTCATGTGACTAATTTTGGGATAGTGGAGCATAAGCAGAGTTTTATGTAATACTTCCAAAACATGTCCTTAAAAGGGGGGGAAAAAGCTTCACATTCTTTCCCTCCGCCACTACCTCCTTCCTGCTGAAACACAGATGCAATAGCTGGGGGTCTAGCAGCCATCTTGGCCCATTAAGTGTCCTTAGGAATAGAAATCATGCCCAGCACAGCAATTAGACTGAAGGAAATTGAGTTCCTGTCATGGTAGAACACCAACCCTAGGCTACCTACCTCCCCATTGCATGAGAGTGATAAATAAATTGCTATATTGTTTAAACTGTGATATTTTGGGTGTTGGCTATCAGCAGCTGAACCTAGCTATAAGTGAAATCCTTTGTTCACAGAATACCTACTATAACACAGTGGTTTGAATTTTTCCATTTTGATTTTTATTTTTACAAGTCTCCATGTATTGACTCTGAATTAAATGAATTTCCATGTAAACTGACTTTTAAAACATTAGAAACAGATGTTATTCTGAATTTATTAAATTGTTCATTTGCCTTCACATCAAAGGTCTCAGAAGTAATTGCTTAAGACCTGATGAGTTATAATTAAATTTTTAAAGAAATATGAAAAACTGTTGTCAGAGAGAGCTGACTTTAAGCAATTCAGAATGAACATCAAACTGGCCTCTGCTAAACATTAACCTAGATATTGATGTGAATTTCTCTCTTATCAATGCAGAAATGCTCATACTATCCAAGTCAGCGCAGTAGAAGCTCAACAGCAAAGCATTCTGGAATAAGGCTTTGCTGCTATAGTAAGGAAAGCTAGAAAGAAAATTCTGTTTACGACAATTCTATACCCTTTCACTGGCAGATCCATAGAGAATGGAGAATCATGTCCTCCAAATCAGGTTTTCTATAGGCTATTAGCTCATCACCATAATCAACTCTGTAAAGACTTTTTAAGAAAAAAGTAAAATCCATACTTAAAAAAAAAAAATCTGTTCAAACCTGCCAGAATTTCCTATATTTATAGCAGTAAGTCTAGTAATAGGAAGCAGCCAACAAACTAACTACACATCTAACTCTCACAAAACAAGGATTTCAAAAAAAGAACAAAATTTAAAAATCTTATAATTTTTCTGTGAGAAAAAAATTTCATGAGGTAGAGCCCTAAATTGTCATTTTAGGGGAAAATCTAATTAACAAACAGTATTAATAAAACAAAAATGGAAGAGTGAGAGAACACCTTACCCATGTGCAAAACATACTATCAAAAGGGAGACTTAGCATGCTAAAATTCTCTGACAGGTATTACCTGCTTAGGAAGGTTTTTACTTAACTGATGAACATTATGGCAAAAATACAAGAAATAAGACTAAATTGTTCTGGGCTTTACTACTGATATATGTCATGTCACATATGCACGTCAGTGATAAGGGATACATTACATATCCCTCACATCATTTTAAGAAAGATAAAGACCAAAGGGGCTTTATTAGAATCTGAAAAATATTCCAGCAAAATGAGACATAAAGATAATCATTCAATATGAAGCATAATAGATTTTCATCCATTTGTGTTTTCTTACATGAGTCCAAAATGGAAATAGTAAAAGCTCTTCTTGGTTAATAAAAAACCTTAATTCAAAACAAAATTTCACGCTGATATAATTTCCGAGGTTATTTCTGTGAACGGGGACTGGAATTTAGGAAGGCACTAAGAAATGAGGAAATCTTCCACTGCAGGAAAGGGAAAGAAGTCAGAGCAGCAGATCTGAAGGAGAAATCACTGGAAGCAGAATTCTCTAGGGAACACATGGCTGGGACTGTCCTTGGAAGCACACGGGTCCAGTCTCTCAGATCTTCAAGGAGTTCTTATTCCATGTCCCCTTTTGTTCATTTGTGGCTCTTTGTTTTTGCTGCCTTGTGATTTTCCCCTTAGGAAATGCTGGCAAAGGCCAATGCTATTGTGAAACGTGAATGATGTGACTGCCATCCCAACTGTCCTCATCTGGGTTTCTCTCACTGCTATTTTTTTTCTTTTGACCTTTGCAGTCAAAAGCACCCACATAAATGATGACTGGTCCTCTGAGCAGGAAGGAGGCTCAGACTCTTCAAACATCAACTGGCACACTCATGAAAAAAGATCACAATTCATAAGCCAAGTAGACTAAATTAAGTTCAAACTATGACACAGTGGACAACAGAGTTACTTCACCTCCCCATACCTGTTTTCTCATCTGTAAAATAAACATATTCACTGTATTTGCCATATGGGATCATTGCAAGGAGTAAATGTCAGTAAACAAGAAGTACATTGTTATACATAACATAATGTGTATATGTAATATACATAACACACATTAGCTACTGTTATTATTATCATTACCATCAA